GCGATGCTCGAGCAAGGGCCGAGCGTGGACATTCGCTGGGAGGCCCCCAAGGTCGCGCAGCTACAAGGAGCTGCTGGGGCGCCGACGCACACCAGAGGATTACGGAAAACCCCGGGCGAAGGCGCAGCAGCTCAGCGCACCGCGCGAGATGCAGTTGAGGCGAGGGCCCCGCGGAGCAGCATCCAGCTGGGCGGGGCCGCCCGGGCCAGAGGCGAGCCCCGTCGACAGGGCCGCGCCGCACTCAGGAGAAACGCCAGCGACGCCAAAAGTCATTACACAGGCATGGAGAGCCCACCGCTCCGCTCCGCACGAAGCCACAGCAGGGGGCCGCGCGCCCCGCGGCCGCCGCCGGCAGACAGACCCAGCGGCCCCGCGCCGCCACGCACGGGCGCCAGGGCCCCGCCCCAGCGAGCCGCCACCGCAGCGCTGGAGGACCCGCGACCTCGCGAGGTCATCCTGACGGCCGCTCGGAGCCGACAGTAGGGCGCCGCCGCGCGCGCGCGGGGGAAGTACCGGGAGGAGACGGGGCGAGGGGATACGGGGCCGTCGGCCAGGAGCCAGCGAAGACAGACTGCCTCTCCCGTCGCCCGCGCGTTGGAGGACGGAGAGGGCTGCTCGGAGGCCAGCGGCCACCTCCGTCGAGCGACAGAGCGCGGCCAGGAACGCAACGACGCGCCCCCGACGGCCCTGCCCGAGATCGCCAGGGGCCAGCGCCCGCGGCGCGGCCCTCGCCCGCGCAGTCGCGCCCCGAAGCCTCGGGACGAGGGCGCAGATGCAGCCGGCGGTGCTCGGAATCTCCTTGGGGCAGAAGCGCCAGACAGACGCCGCAGCCTTCGCGCGCCGTCTCGGTGCTCCCGCGCGCTCGGGGAAAGGCGGGCTCGGCGAGGTCGGACTGCGCCGACCTCTCCACCGCGGCGCGGCAGGGCGATTCCCTCCAGCGGCTGGCGCACAACAAGCAGGCAGCGAACAGCGAGCAGGCAGCTGGCTCCCTCGAGCAGTCCGAGGACTTCGGCGACGCCCAGGCGGGCGGCATTCGCAAACACGTACCTGCCAGCGCGCGGCAGCCGCCAAAACGATGAGCGGGGGCCCCTCGGCCTCGACGACAGGCGCGCCGCAGCCTGGCACCCGCAGCTGCGCGAGCGGGCGGCGCAGGGCATCGGCGCGCTGGCCAAGCGGCCCAGCGCCCAGCATCGGGAGGGACCTTACCTGGAGCCGGTCGGTTGACGCACGCGCGGCGCAGGACGAGCACTCAGGAGCACCGAAGAGAGGCCCTCCTATACACGGCGGCCCGCTCGGCGGAGGCGAGATCGACGCCGGCGGGGGCAAGGCCAAGGCCGCGACAAACAGGCGGGGCAGACCCCCGCGGGGCGCCACGGCAGGAAGGGCGCCACCGCGGCCTTCGCGGACTGGCTCCGCTGCGGCCGGACCTCATCGAGGCGCCCTCGGAAGTCGACGGCAACGCCATCAGGGGTCGCCGCAGCTCGGATGGGCTCTGGCGGCCACGCGGACACCGCCATCGCAGCGCGGCACAAGGGCGCGCGCCCTCGGAGCCCAGCTCGCGCCCTGGTGCATCGCCCCCCTGGCCGCGCACCTCGACCAGGGGGCGGCCATTTGGGCCATCCCAGAAGCGGCAAATACAGCTGCGTGGAGGACCGCCGCGATCGGCCCCTGGAACGCCCCGCGGACGATGTAAAGTCGGGCAGGATGGCCCACGGGCTCGCATGGAGCATTCGCGCTACCGTTTCAACGGCAACAGCTACATGGCAGTGTTGGCGGCGTTCGAGGGCGCGGACGGCAAGAGGCGATTCGCGCGCGCTGGCGCGCGCGAGGTCGCCGCGAACAATCCAATCCGAAGCAGGAACCGCCAGAGGACGCAGAGTCCAGCGGGGAAGTCCTGCGCCCTGAGCTACCACCAGGGACGCCACGAAGTCCTCTTACCGCTCGCCGCCGACGCCACGGGCACGCGCGCAGCGGCCCGCTTCCCCAGCGGCGCCCGGCCCGCGGGGCGGCCCGCCAACGCCAACGGCCCAGAGGCGATCAGCTCGGAGCGACGCGGGAGGCGGGCTGCACTCATCGGGATCATCCGCGCCAGCGGCTTCGGCTTCCTGGAGCAGAGAGGGCTAGGAAGCGCGGCGGCCTCGAGTTGATCTGGATCGGCCTCCGCCGCGACTACCACCCACGCCATGAGTCTCTCCGAGGTGTGAGCGGCTTGGCTAGCCAACCGGTGTTTGGAGATGGTCGAACGCAGCGCCGTTCACGCAAGTGGGGTGGCGGCTTGTTGGGGCGCCCGGGCATCTCCGCGACGCTCCTCGTCTGGGAAAGAAAGCTCCTGGGGCCCGCGCACACCTTGTTATCCAGTCGACAGGTCTGGCAAGAAGAGGGCCTCTTGGCCAGGGGCGGGCAAACTCGCGCTGGCGGCGATCGGCATGCGACTGGGCCGCGAACACAGGCTCGCGGCGCCGATCTAGTTCGACGGCGAGAACACTGTGCAGCGTCGCTCGGACGCGAAGGCCAATGCGGGGCGCTGCTGGATAATTATGCATCTGCGAGGCATCTCCGATGAGCATATCCCATCGGCACGGGCGCGGCGCAGGGGCTCCCCAGCATGATGCCGCCTCGCGAAGCTGTTCTCGAGGCTGGGGAAGTCCCGCCAGCGGGCGAGCCTCAGGAAGACGGGGTCGACGCACAACCCGGGGAACGCTCGCGCGGCGTCCCGCGCCAGGTCGACCTATCGGCCTTGGGCCGCGCTCCTCTTCGAGCCCTCCGATGAGCTGAGGTCGCGCAGGATGGCGATTGGATCGGACGGGGCCCCCGCGACGATAATCAGGAGGCGGACGACCTCAGCGGCACGAAGGCGCGGGACTTCGACGAAACCTCCAGGATCCACGCGGCGCCCGAGGCTCCGAGGGGGCACGTCATGGACGACGCGACAAAGGCCTCCCAGGAGCTCCGCGAGACCATCCTCGAGGAGAGGGGGGCCCCGCGAGGCGGCCCAGGAGGCCGCGCCCGCTGCGTGCGCCTCGAGCCGCGGTAGCGGCTCCGTTCCACGTCCGCGCAGGAGTCCCCCGCGCTTGGAGGCCGTCGGCCGCTCGCCTTGGGGACGTGTCCGGGCGGGTTTCGGCGGCGACCCCCCAAGCAGGGAGAGGCTCCGAGCGGCTGCTTGGCGCGCCTCCGGGATCGCCTTGTCTTCCCGCCATCCGGCGGGCTACTCAACGGCGGGGGCGCGACTCCTGCGCACGGGACCGGCATGTTTCCGCCGCGGGCGGGGGCGGGAGTCCAGGGTGGGGTGGGGGGCCTCGACCGCGGAGGACCCCTTGGAGGATGGGCAGGATTTCGAGACAGCGCGTCTCGGTTCCTGCGCACGTGCGATTTGCGAGCATTGGCGACACCGACATGAAAAGGTGAAGAAGGAAAGGGGTGAGAGAAAGGCGGATTAGCCCCTTACGTTCGCAGCGTCCAGAGGGGGGCCCAGCATTCTCTTCCTCACCTTGGGGTATCCTTTCCCTCTTTCTCTTGGTGCCTCACTCCCATCGCATGAGAGGGCATGAAGTTCTTAGGAACGGCAGGGGCCCTGAGCCAGGGCCCCCCGAACATCCGCCCAAAAAAGGGGCATCACCGTCACTTCGTTTCTTTCCCGCCATCGTACCGCTATTAGGGCCCATCGCGGACACACCTACATGTGCCAACACGTACGTGTATCCTCCTTTATTTCCCGACGATTGTGGCCATTGGGCTACGACGATCGGCCGTTTCGGAAAAACGAGCCCACCACCCTGGGGCATCAAATTTCTTGGGTTTGCAGGGCCCTTGAGCCAGGGCCCCCAGAATCGCCACCCAGAAAAAAAGGCATCACTGTCACCGCCTCCCTATTCTCCGCCATCGCACCACTATCAGGGTCCATCGAGGGTTCATTTATTCCTCTTCCTATATTTTTATAAGCCCGGGCGGGGGGAAAACCCGTCACCCCCCCAAAACCGGACTCCCGGGACCTGGGGTTTTGGGGCCCTCCGAACGGGCCTCGAAGCGGCCACCGGGCCTCGCAAGGCGTTTTGCCAAGCCTTCCCAGCACACTTAGGGCGATCAGGGGGGTCATCGGAGACGTCCCAAAGACCCCCAAGACAGCACAAGAGCGCTCCAAGAGTGACCGACGTGACCTCAAGATGGTCCAAGAGGCCTCCAGGACGGCCCCAAAGAGGCCTCCAAGAGCACTCCCAAGAAGGCCCCCCGAGGCAAAAATCATTGATTTTCTGTTGGTTTTTGGTGAATTTGGGGGTTCTCCTCTTTTCGGCTTCCCGACGCTCCAAGACGGCGGTCTTCTGGGCGTCCGAAGCCGCCTGGGAGGCTCCCAAATCGCCCCACAACCATCCGAAAGGGCTTCCAGGCAGTCCAAGAGAACCCCAAAACGGCACAACACGGGTCCAAGATGGCGCTCAGAGAGCCCCATGGCGGCCCAAGATGGCCCAAAGACACCCTCCGAAGAATTCCAAATCGTGATTCGGTCGTTAAGGGAGACGGCGGTTGGAGGCAGGGTGGCCCGAGGAAGCCCCCAGAGGCCCCCAGAATACGCCCAGGAGGCCTCCAGAAGGCCTTAAGAAAACCCGACACAACTTTTGTGAGGTCCCTAGAGGCTCTCCAAGGAGAAGCCTCCGCAAAAAAGAGCTGAGGAGGATGGGGAGAATGCGCAGGTGCGCAGGGTATGGCGAAAATAAGGAACAGTAAGCATGGAAGAAGGATAAAAAGGCAAACAGGAGTTATCGCTAAATTGTCGGCTTGACTTTCCTGCCATTCCGCGTGCATACCAAACTAGGACCAAGGTGCATGGCGCGAAGCGCCACTGCAGTCTTGTATCTTTTTTTTTATATATATATATATATATATATATATATATATTCATATGTGTACATAACTAAAGATTCACACATACGCACACCGAGCCTGGGCCCAGGCGTGGTCTGACAGCGAATCTGCGTGGGTGCCTACTGTTGGCGCCCCCCGAGCAGGGGCGCGGCGTGGACGCTCCAGCCTCGATGGATGGCCAGGCCGCGCTCGTCACGGGGGCCTCCCAGGGCATCGGGTTCCACGCGGCCGCGGAGTTCTGCCGCAGGGGGTCGCGCGTCGCCGTGACCAGCCGGAAGTGGCCGAAGGCGTCCAGGGCCGCCCGCGAACTCGCGGACATGGCGGGGCGACAGCATGAAGCGGTCACACCGATGGTCTTGGACACGTCGGATTTCGACGACGTCAGGCGCTTCGCGGGGGAAGCGAAGAAGCTCTTCCGGAGACTGGATGTGGTGGTGCTCAACGCGGGCATGGGTTACGGGCCCACGTGGCCGACGAACACCACCGCCAACAGCGGCCACGACCTAGCCTATGCTACCAATTTTCTCGGGCACTTCCTGCTCGTGAGGCTTCTGCTGGAGCTGCTCGCCCCAAATGCCTCGCTGGTGGCGGTAGGGAGCGCCGCGATGTGGCAGGGCAAGCTCCACCAGCTCACCCCGAAGACGCGCCCCAGGTATGATAAGTGGGTGTACGGCCAGCCCCGCCCCATGGCATACGCCAACAGCAAGTTGGCCGAGCTGTGCTTCGTGAAGGCGCTGCGACGCCGGCGACCAGCGCTGAGGGCGGTGGCGATGGCCCCCGGCCGGGTCGCCACGGCACTGCTAGGTCCCGAGCTGGATTGGTGCAGGGGCAGGAAATGGCTGGATTGGTGCGGTGATCCCCAGACAAGCGGAAGGCTGGTGTTCGAGAGCGCGTTTGTCTCTGAGACGGTTGCGCCGGAGTTCCTCTACCCCTACGCGTTCCCGCGGCTGCTGTTCTCCTCGCCAGTGAGCCGGTATCTGCCGAAGTATGCGTGGTGGTGGCCAGTGCGGCTGATGCGCCCGACGTTCGGCACGCTGCACGAGTCCGTGGCGCCCCACTGCGGCGTGGAGGCGCAGGAGCGCCTGTGGAGGTGGAGCGCAAACGCCACCGCGGCGCCCGCGTGGCCCGCGTAGCTCAGCGGGAGCGCCTGCGGAAGAAGGCGGGGCGCACACCACTGCGGGTGCCCGCGTGGCTTGCGGCCTCGCGGCCGGGCAGGCGCGCCCCGGGGGCTGGCGGAGCACTCGACACCCCCGGGGCTCTCCATGCCGAGTGGGCTGTGGTGCAGGCAGCGAGCACGGCGAGGAGTGCGCGGCAGACGGGGCCGGCCCCGCGCGCGCGAGAAAGACTGCTCGGTGCCAAGCAGCGTGCGGCTCGGCGGGCACGAGCTCCGGGGAGGCCACTGGGCCGCTGCCCCTGCGCCACACCGCAGAGTGGCACATGTGGCCGCCGCTTTCCGACCCGTTCCGCGACTCGCCCGCGACTGGCAAGTACCGGACCGCTTCGCCAGCGGACCGCTTCGTCCGAGTAGCTTAGCCGAGGACCGCTTCGCTCGAATCGCTTCACCGGCGGATCGGGTCACCCGAACCGGTTCGCCAGCGTACCGCCTCGCCGGGGGCCGTTCTGTGGGCGGGCCGCTTCGCCAGCGGGACGCCTCGTCGTGCTCTCCGTCTTCCTGGTCCCCATCGTCTCAGACCGCTTTGCCAGTGGGTCGGGGCTGCGGGACAGGCGGGCGTTTTTTTCAAGAAAGTGAGCGGGCAAGCCCCAACTGGCAGGTCGGACAAGCAGACCTTAGCAGGCGGGCCAGCCAGGTGGACCTTGACTGGCGGGTTCGGGGTTGGACCAGGGGCTAAGCGGTCGGAGCGGAGCGGTCCGAGGTCAGTCAGTGCCAAGCGGTTCACAGGCGAAGCGGTTCTCTGCCAAGCGACTTTGCCAAGCGACCAGCCCCGCGACCCACACCGCAACCCGCCAAGCGACCCACCCGCGGCCCACCCGTGCCACACCCCGACGGCCAGCCCCTCGACCCAACCACTATATTGCTTTCAATACTTGCAGTCGGCACCTTCGGCAGTATGCTTGTATCTAATGTCCTTCAGCCCATCCCGCCACCGTGCCTGGGTTGTGGGTATGGGTATGAGCATGTTGGATGTTCGTTGGGATCTGTGGGAGGCCTCTCGAGGGCCTCTAGGAGGCAGTTTGGAGGCCTCATAGGGGCGTTTGGGTGGCCTCGTTTGGGCCTCTTCTGGGCCTCTTGGGGCCCCTTGTGGGCCTCCTGGGCGCCTCTTGGGGCCTCCTGGGAGGCGGAAGGCTCTGATTTTCGGTTCGTGCTTCCAGTTTTTGACTCCATTGGGGGCTGTCTTGGGGGCCCCCTCGGGCAGTTTTGGGCGCCCCTCGGGCCGTCTTGGGGCCCTCTTGGGCCGCTTAGGGGGCCCCCTGGAGGTCTCTTCGGCCGTCTTGAGGCGGTCTTGGGGACCTCTGGGGCCGTCTGGGAGCGTTGGGAGGGAAGCCGAGAAGGCGAGAACGCCAACATCCTTCAAAAGCCAAATGAAAATCAATGATTTGGGCCTCTTGGGGCCCTCTTGGGAGGCCTCTTGGAAGCCTCTTTGGGCGTCTTGGAGCCTCTTGGACCGCCGGGGGGCCATCTTGAACTTCTTGGGGCCATCGTTCAGCGACACGGGACCTTCTTGGATTGTCTTGGGGGCTTATTGGGGCCCTCATGGTCCGTCTTGGGGCCTTCTTGGGCCCGAAGAAATTGATGCGGCAACACTTCCCTCGGCCCGAGCCCAGGGGTCACGCGACAAGTCCCGGGAGATTCGGCAATTTGGGGTCTGGGCGCTTAGAAGACTCCTCAGGAGTGAGGATTAAGGCTCAGAGGATCAGGCAAAGGACCTGAGATCACGCCCACTCCGTGCCCAGAGGCACGGTGGCGGATTACGATGAGATAAACATTACGCGTGCCCCGCCCCCCGCGACCAGTCCAGGACTCCGCTCGTTTTGTCTAACCGAAGTCACCGCTCGCGGGCGCCTGGTGTGCAGCGGATCTGGGGAGAGCGCGTCGTCTGTGGCACCCGACGCGTTTCCGCTCCCGCAGGATGGAGAGAACAGGCTGGCACGTAGCTGCCTGCAACACGCACCGTGCTCAAAACGCACGTGTCGATACGTTGCGTGCTGGCGCGACGCATCGGCCCACGTTTGGGCGATTGAGTGTATCGCGTCGGACCTACGTGTTCAGTCCACGCGTGGAGCTCCGTATCCATACGGTGCGTGTTCCGTGCTGCGCATCGGGGCAGCTAAGGGCCGGCAGTATCTCTCTGTCGCCCATGCGCTCAGGCGCATGGCATGACTGACTGACTGACTGACTGACCGGCTCCTTGACCGACCGTGCGCCCCGCTGGTGGCCCGCGCCCGCCGCGGCCCGCGCCGCCCGCGGTGCACGCCCTGTTCCGCCGATGCACCGCTGCAGGGCCCTGGCGCACCTGGCGTACCTGGCGCAGCTGGCGCACCTGGCACACCTGGCGCGCTGGGCGCACCTGGCACACCGGGCGCACACCGGGCGCACACCGGGCGCACGCCTGGCGCACACCTGGCGCACCTGGCGCACACTTGGCGCGCCTGGCGCGCCTGGCGCACACTTGGCGCACCTGGCGCGCCTAGCGCACCTGGCGCGCCTGGCGCACCTGGCTGCAGCACCAGGGAACGAGGGAACCTGCTCTCGTTCGGTGTAAACTCATGGGAGCCTTCCATCGGAAGCCGGGCAAGGGCTGCTGAATCCGTGGCTGCTGAGATCGACCTCCGGGAAGTTGTCTTCGTCCTTCCGGGAAGAAGCCCGTTGACAGTTCCGCGTGCCACGCCTCATTCCGGGAAGTTGTTTTTTCTCGCCCAGCTTCCCATTCTATGCCCTCGAAATTCAATCTTGGGAATGCGTGAACGTGCGGTAGCGTCTGGTAACGTTAATCGATGAGAATGCGCCGATGTAGCGTCGATTCAGCGTCGATTTGCGTCGGTTAGCGTCGTTTTTTCCAGAGCCAGCAACATGGCATGGGAAGCTCCCATGCGTTGCCACAGAACTCTTTCAAAGAAGAAAAAACATAAACATAAACATTCGCAGCTCCGCGCGGAATTCTTGGATCTGCGCTGGGCCCCCCTGGCGGCGCGCCTCCGGTGCCGCTTCTGGCGCGTTCCGCGCACCAAGGAGGGTGGTCCAGCACCGATCCAAGAGATCCGTGCGGGGCTCCGGAAAAAAAATAAGCTTATGCCGCAAAGGCAGCTTTGTTCTTCCTCAACTCTCGGGCGTTCCAGGGGGGACGATCAAAAGGGAACATCGAGGGTTGCAGGAAAAGGGGCCCTCTTGGGGCCCGAAGGTTCACGAGAGGTGCACGAGAGGTGCACCTTGCTGCATCCCGCTTTTATTCCCCCCCGTTTCGGAGCACCCGACTCAAACTCGCTGGCTCGCAGGGGAAGTGCGCGGAAGCGATAGACATGTTGAACAGCATGCCGAGGAGGGCGTTGGAGCCCCCAAGGAGCGCGCAGCGAAACAAAGGGGGGCTGGATGAGGAGCAGGAAGTCTAAGAGAGCCACAGATTAGCAAGGGCGCTCTCGAGGGCGCGAAGTTATTCGCGCTTCGCGGTTCGGCTCCGATTCCTCCTCATCCTCCTCTTCTCCCCTGGGAGGCGGCGCGGGAGCGCGAAGTTATTCGCACTTCGCGCTTCGCGCAGCGCGAAGCGCGAAGTTGGGAGCCCTTGATAGAAGCCGGCAGCGCAAGGTAGCCACGAATCCCGTTCCAGCGTTGGTCATGGAGTTCCGGCCCCTGGAGCCTTGGATTTGCAGGCCGCGCCGGCGCAAAGAGCCAAAATTGCTAACATTCGGTTCTCGGCCGTCTATTCCAGATTCTGCATGTCTGTGGGGTGTACAGTGTGCTTCTAGTAATTTTGAGCTCCAGAGCTGGCGTTCCGACCCTTGGAGCCTTTTAAATTGCCGGCTGGCGCAAAGGACGAAAATTGCTAATAATGTTCGGTTCTCGGTCGTCTTTTTGTGTTTACAAGGTTATGCTGGGTGTGCCTGACCTGGCTGCGTATCGGGCGATCCTGGATGCGTCTCTTCTGCTTCTGGGCTCCCGACGTGGCGTCTCGGCCTCTGCAGCTGTGCATCTGCTGGCCGCACCAGTGCAAAGGACGGACATTGCTCGTGTTCGGTTCCCTGCCGATTGTCCTGGACTCTGGTGGCTCTGCTGGGCTTTGCTGCGTATCTGGCGGTCTTGAATGTCTGTGTTCGCCGATGCGTTCCAGAGCTGGCGTTCCAGCCGAGGGTGTGACATTATGACGTAACGCCCCCCCCTCTCGCCGTGTGGCTCCAGAACCGCAGCCACGCCTGCGCGCGCACGACGCGACGAGCGACGATGACGACGATGTAGGTGGATTTGCCCCACTGCGCTTGTATATACCACAACGCTCGCGTGCACCACAGCGCGCGTGCACACTACAGCGCTTGCGTACACCGCAAGACCGCGCACAGTTGCGCCGACCCAACATTCGCGTACACTAAAAAACTTGTGTGTTGTGTACACCGCAACAGTCCATGTGCAAAACAGCGACGATGACGAAGACGACGATTGCGGACTCTTATGCGGATTCCTACGCGAATCCGAATGCGCATGGCGAAATGCTTGGAACGCACGGGGGAGGGGTAGCATTACGTCGTAGGAGTAGAGGAGAGAGAAGCAGGGGTTATAATTATGATCGTGCCTCACGCAATAGAAACGATATCATGTTGGCCAAAAACTATTGAATTCTTTCTGGCCCCAGTGATTTTACCGCTAGAATGTGTGTGTATATATATATATATATATATATATATATATTCTTTGAATCAGAATTGGGACCAATTATCGATACAAAGACGGAAATTGCATTCGGGATGAAATCGCCGTTTCTTGAATTTGCCTATGGGTTGTGTTTTAGGTATATTGGTTTTTCGAAGGGGGAACTTGCGAATCGAAGTCGCGAGCGCGCGGCAGGGCTATAGGGTTCTCACCATTTCTATGTGCCAAAGCCACGAATGTGGCGCGGCTAGGCCATGTGATTATTATTTTCTCACATGTTCCCGAGTCATGAACGCGTGGCAAAAACATGGAGACCGATTGGATGTTGATCATCATCGTCATTATCAACATTATTATCATCATTCGATCGTGAAAAGCGTAACGCTCATATTCCCGATTGCCCATTGTCAAAGATGCACCGATCGTGACTGGTTGGAACCACGTTTGGGAGAAACGTCCGGATTTTAGTTGACAAAGCGTCAAGTAAGATACCCTACTTGGACTGCAAGTTTCTATCACGTTTTTGTTGTACCTTTCCTTCC